GAAACACACACAAATGCTCCATATGACTTACAGTGGGGATATCCTGATAAATCCATCATAAATTGAAAATATATTTAAAGGGTGAGGGTGGAACCCTTTAATCCCAGCTACTCAGGAGGCTAAGGCAAGAGGATCATAAATTCTATGCCAGCCTCAGCAACTTAGACCCTATCCAAAATAAAACACAAAAAGGGATGGGGATGTAGTTCAGAGGCAGAATACTTCAAGATTCAATATGCAGTTCTACCAAAAACAACCACCACCAAATAATAACAAACAAAAAAACCATTTAATCAGCTAAATATATATATATATATATATATATATATATATCTACGTTACTAAACATCAGAGCTTAATAATAGAGTATAATATAAAGTACTAGTTATTTACTTTGGTAATTCTTTGGCTGGCTGGGAACTGCAGTTCACTGTCACTGCCCAGTATCACAAGAGAGTATCGTGGGGCCTATCACTAGACTAGAAAAATAAAATAAAAAGCCAAAATTCAAAGTGTGATGCTTTCACATCATCATAAAGTAAAAAAAAAAAAAAAACAGTTTTAAGTCAAAACATCACACAYATATAAACATACATGTAGATAAATGCAGATGAATGTAATATGTCAATAAAGCCCTTAAATATTATTCAAAGAATAAAGCTTCATTCATTCCACTGAACACCTGCCACATGCCAGACATTGTATGAGGTTCTAAGAATACAATGGAACACAAGACAGCCAGTTTCAGCCTTCACAGATTCAAGARCATGGTATTCAAGACAGGAATAGGCAACCCTGTTATCATGTGATAAGTCTGAGGGAAGAAAAAAATTGAGGATGTGATGGAATCACACTGTTGTGTGMTTAGGTAAAGAGGTATTTAAAAAAAAGTCTCAGTGTTGGGAATTGAATGACCAGAAAGGGTAGCGGGCAGTGTTCATAGACTATCCAAAGGTCAGAATCCAGAGGAAGTGGCAAGAGATATTTAAGATTAAAGCAGAATTAATATCATGGTCTTACACCATGATAGTTTGAATTTTATCTTCACTGGAAAACCTCTTAATGATTTTATGTATGGGACTGATGGAGACATCAAAGATAAGAGGACAATACAGTTGTTTCTTGGTATTCCCAGGTGATCAGTTCCATAACCTCCACTTCTCATACCAATATCTGTGGATGTTCCAGTCCCTTATATAAAATAACATAGTATTCGCATATAACCAACACACATCTTCTTGCATTCCTCTGTCTCCCTGTGTTGCTCAGGGATGGTCTAACCTCAGTAGCTGGGAATATAAGCATGTGCCACCATACCCAACCTCCTCCTGTGTGCTTTAAATGTAAGTCTTACTTAAGTAGCTGTTATATTGTATCATTTTGGGAATAAATACAATTTAAAAATCTGTACATATTCAGCAGAGGTGCAATTTGTTTTCTGGATATTTTCCATCTTCAATTAGTTGACTCCACAGATTCAACTGTTAATAGGGAAGGTTTACTTTAATAAAGAGAAGAGCAATTATTCAGTTGAGAAATAAGAGCAGTGGGAATGGAGTAGCCAGCTCTTTAAGACATTTATGATGCAAAATTTTCTGAGTATGTTTATAGACTGGATGTGGAGAACATGAGAATAGAAAAGAAGGACATGTTCTGGTTTGAAAAATTAGATGAGGTGCATCAGTTTACAAGGGGTACTTTCAGGAAAAAGAGGAGACGATGTAAAATAATTGTGAGGTAATGAAATGAAGACATAGAAAAGTTGGACCTCATGAGAGGTCTGAGCTGGAGACAAATTAAGCATCCCTTGATGTGTAAGGGCTAAATAGGCAAAGGTGCTGGGGGGCTAGCAATATCCAGGGAATACGTGGAATATAAAAGAATGATGATTATGATAGAACCATGATGGTCACTAAACAGAAAAAAGCAGACAAAGACACTGGAAAGGAGTCTTAAGAAAGGAGAGGGAAAAAGCAAAGACTCTGGGAGGGAGGTGTCAGAATATTTTAAAAATAAGGCAAATGTAGTGTCTCAGTAGCAAAATTTATTAAGGAAAACAATGTGAAATACTGCTAAGGATAAAGAAAGGATATTATTGAAAGGTGTTCACTAAAAATTAATTATGAGTCTCACTGGTGATCCATACTAATTTTTTTAAAAATGACTAGAAACAGATCATTTAGGAAAGTCAATGATCCTTTTATTAAAAGGTTTAGGTATGTCTTCTCCTTTCTATTCTGGAAGGCTAGTTCCTAAGCATTTTGTGAGGGATAAGATTGTATGCCATGCTTGGTATATATTTGGTAGTCCCTAGGATAACTCAAATCCATATTGAAAAGTGTCATGGATAAGATGATCTTCAAAGAAAACTCGTCCAGGTATGAAAATCTATAATTCAAATTTTAAAAAACTTACTGAAGCAAAATGGCACATAATGGCGAATTTTATAATGTCTTAAAATGAAATATATTCAATTTAATACTTTAAGTACCTTAATCTCAGACATTATCAACTGTGATTAGATGCTTTTCTTTAATGATATCCTGAAATTCCCATTAGTTGAAACAAATATGAATAGCTATTGCATTTGCTTTGCAAGTTTTTGCTATCCCATAAAAGAAGATAATACAATCTACACTGCACATGAAAATCCCAAATTCAAGACAAAACATCATTTGTTCATTTTACATTAAAGTAAACATAGGCCAACAGACAAAACTGAGATTTTTCAATTCTATTTGCCGATACTAGACCCTTAACAGTATCTGTCCTTCCTTCTCTTAAAAAATTATAGGTTTTGGTCAGGTGGAGAAATACCCGTTAAGGTATCAGGATTCTGTCAGTTTTTCGATCACTGGAAGCAAATACTTTCCATTTACAAAATACACTGAGGTTGTCAATTTAAAGGTATTATTCAAACATTACTCCAACCATAGATAAAAAATTGTAATTAGTGATCAGTTATATTAAGATAATCTAATATTAATTCTACGACTAGACTACTTTAAAAAATGTCAAAAAGCCTTTCAATATTTATTGATCACCAACACTTAAAACATACAGATTTGTGGTAAATGACATTCTTTTTGTTGCTTTACTAATCTAGTAATCCAAAGCAAGATTTCATGTAGAAGCCCAGATTCCACCATGTGAACAACGGTATATGCAAGTGTTTTGCTCAGTTTTATTTTAGTTAAAAAAAAAATAATAATTTAAAAGCAGTTCAAGTTACCCAGAATTCAAACTTAAAGTTTAAATTTTATTATATTAATAAAAAATTCTTTATAAAAACATTACAGTTATATAAAATTATATTACTTATAAAATTTCAAAAATGAAGACAATGCTGCAAAACTGAAGGGGATTTCAAGAAATTTAAATACTGAAAGGAAATTTGCTAAATTCTATCGAATACCAATGATATAGAATCCTGGGATGAGATGGGTGGTTGCAGCTATAAAAAAAAATGTCAAAACATAGTTTATGTATACAACTATCTTTATTTTTAATGATTATTAGAGAATTGAGTACTTTTGTGTACATTTCATTCATCTACAGTTCTTCTATAATTAAAATTAAATGAAGTAGGAAATGACCAGGGAATTTCATTAACATGAAAATGACATATAACTAATTCAGAGAATCAATTTTCAGTGCTAAACGAAATAAGTGATTCAATATTTTAATTCTCTAGTTCTACTGGGATGATAGTAAGGTCAGGGAGATAAAATGACTTTCCAAACTAACAGTGGTGGAAGTCCCAATATTAAGTGACATTCCCTAGTTTTCATAGATAATGGGTTCTTCCCTATATTGTATCTTTTCTGATTAAAAATAGGCCATGTTTCATACTTTCATAGGAAAGATCATATGGCTCTTGCATGGGCTAGCACAATGCTCCCCCCAAAAAACACTAACATATAGTAGTAATTCATTACTACATCAAAACTTGCATTAACGCTGACTACTTAGCAAAAACATGCCTTCAGCCTGAAAGAAATGGAAATGACTCACATATGTGTAACTTGTGTATGTATAAAAAAAAGTTTTACATGTGTATACAACTGAGAATTGTTTCAGCATAAGTTCCTCTGAATTGATTTGGTCAGATACTACTACTGTGCAACTCCAGATTCAGAAAAAATCTTCCACCTCACCCAATCCAGGCATTGTTAAGCAGCCAGGCCAATTCTCCCATAGCTATCACATACCAAAAGGATTTAATGGTCAGTTCCACAAAATCATACAAAGCAGTTCACCAGAGACTAATGCTTGGCCCAACATCAAAGAATCTTTATTAAGCATGTTAGGCTTGGTGATGCACATTTCCGGGGTGGTAGGGGGACTAAGATGCTTGCAACCAAAAAGTTTAAGAACTTACTCCCCTAGATTTAAAAAATATATAATAAAAAATAAAATAAAAAACACGAAAAGAAAATAGCACCACTATTTTAGTCTTTGGAAGTTTTTTTTTTTTTTTTGTRTATACAAAGCTTTCTAATCAATTTTTTTCTCCTTTATCGGGGTAGTTGCCAATGACACCCCCCTCCCACCCCACCCTCCGCACCAAAGAAAAAAACCTTCAAGAGAGAAGTGGTTCGTTATTAAAAGGTTCTTTCAACTTAGTTCTAGGCCTTGGAAATAACAAAAGCAATTCATGCCACAACGTACCAATCACTGGAATATGGGTTCCTTCCTTGTTATACAAACATTTGCAAATGTTCCCAGTACCACCTCTAACAGAGATAATTGCTGTGTCACTGAGAAGCTAAAGATAAGACCTCTGAAACCTAAAGGAAAATGTCAAAGAATATCGAAAACCTGTCTTCTCGGGCTACTCCATTCCCTACAAAACAGCCAGAAACGAGATTTTCTAAATTCATGTGCTGCCGCTTAGCAGTTACCAACTGATGGGAAGGAAGCCCCCTCACCGGCACAACCCTTCAAGGAAACGTTGCATCCGCTCGGTTCCACCTCTATGGCCCGAGGCAGCTTCTCACCATTTCCAGGTGGGCACCGGAACCTTCGGGATGTCCGCTTCCCAGGGCAGGACTGGCCCTGCCCTCCGGGGTCTTTCGTTCGCTGTTGCGCTTCAGGCCGCTAGCGTCGCCCCGGCCTCCTGCCTCCCGGCGCCGCCGCTGCCGGGTCCACAGATACATGGCACCCGCGCCCAGCAGCAGGGGCGCTCCTACAGCCAGCGCCAGCTGCCATCGCGGCAGACCCCCAGTGCCCGGGCCCGAAGTCCCGCCGCCACCGCCCACTCCACTCCCGGAGCCGGGCGCAGCAGCTGCGACCACTGCTGCCTCCACCGGCTTAGAGGCGGCCATGTCGAGTGTCCTCTGCCACCGCCTCCCTGACAGTCGCGGGCGCCACAGTCACTAGRTAGTGTAAAAAGGAAGACCCGACCAAGCAAAGGAAAGCAATGAGCCAGAGAGCACGCTAGGAAGCGAGAGCGGACGGCAGGAAAGGGCCAGAGGTCACCGGAAGCCCAGGGCATGCCGGGCAGACGGGGCTTTGGGTCTCCTCCCTCTCAACCGTGGAGGGGGGCGTAGGGGAGAATCACTTCCGGGTTGAGGGAAACCGTGTGCGGTGGGCGTTCCTGGGCAGCCCTTTCTCTTTCCTTTTGCCTCACTGCTGTTTGGGGGAATCACTTCTGGGGTCTTGGGCCTCCAGTGGTAGCAGATATCATCCTGTCCACCTTCAGGGTGGAAGGACAGATGGCCCGCTCGCCTAGCGGAGAGGAGGAGAGCGCGCATACAGCGGGCTTGCGGTGTGCGGACGATCAGAGCACTGGGTACGCGCCACGGGGCACTCTGATTGGGCGAGAGAGACGGAAGAAATGTGGAGGTTATTGGTTGGCAGGGGAAGTGGGCGGGGCGTAGKCCGAGCTGTTCAGCTGATTGGTAGGTTTTGGATCCCGTTTTCCCGTTACCGCCACGTTGGCTTTACTTGGACCTGCCCGGCCGTTAGGTCTGCTATCCGTGTGTGGAGGAAACCAACTGATTGGAAGGACATTAAAAACGAGCGAGGGAAGGGTTGAATAGCTTACTGAGTCGCCCATCTTCTAATCTCTACCATAGCGAGATTTTAGTTTGGATGAATTTGAGGTTATGGGGGCGATAGCAGAGGGCAGAAAAACTGAGTTGAAACCGGCAAAGCCAGGTTGATTCCAGTCCAAAAGGGGTTGAGTGGGGTTCCTTGAGTCTCAATCTGAACCGGTTACGAAAGCAATGACGTGTGTGTCGTTAAGAGATCCTGGAACTGAGTAGGCAGAAATGCGAGGCCCCAGGCTTCCCACCTGCTTCCAGCCTTCCTTTATGTGGTTGTATCTTGAGCAGGATCCTATCCGACCCCCCAGCCCACGCAGGCTCCCTGGAGTCACGCGCCTGCCCCAACGCTCTGATCCGCCTACCCTCGTGCTTGTTTTGCACTGTCTTCAGTATCTCCTTCCCAAAATGTGATTTCAGTTCATAGGTAACCTATCTCTGAAAGCTTACATATGAAAATAACCGTTGCAAGGTTGTTGCAGTTAACGGTATTTTCAAGAAAAAAAGACAAGTAGGAATAGAGAATGAGAATCCATAACTGACTTCCCGTTTCAGGCATACTGGCTTGCAAAGCCTTATATTAAAAATTTATAATCATTCTGCGTTTAAATACAAGAGGATTCCCAACATAAAAGAAGTGTTATTCAAAGACAGGACATAAATAAGTTGTGCCAAAATGGACTGGATAAATTAGAAATACTTAAATTGGAAGTGTTTCAGGATCATTGCTTTTCTTTTACTTCATTACTAAATAAATTGCGTTCAGGCAACAGGATTTGTTAGCAACAAATGTAAGAAAATGGGCTAAAAATAATAGCAGTGGAATTGGTTTGATAAAATAGTAATTGTTAGAGATGATCTACTTTCTCCCTTCCTGATCCCCCTTAACTCCAAATGGCAATTCTCTTGTCTCTTCAGGTAAAATTGGCCTTTTGGGGGTTTTTCTGTCTTAAAATTTCAATTTTCTATGTCATTTTGGAAGATTGTAGGTTGCTAGTAATTATAAACTATTGGCAGGAACTAAATCGTTGAAGATTTAAAAAATCTTTTGCTTGTTTACTGAAAAAGGCGATACATTATAATRCTTGAGTTCCAGAAGTTACAAAAGGTTTACTGTGAAAAGCCTACCTCTGCTCCCTATCCTCAGTCACATGGTTTCCCTTTGCAGAGGGCAACCAATGTTAGAATTTCTTGAAACATTTTTTTATGTTAAGTAATACTTATCTGAAGGGTTTACTTGTTTGGTTTTATTTTTACTAAGGGCATTTGTAAATTAGTTTATTCTTGTTCCTTTCATAGTTTGTAAAGAACATCTCATTCCATTSTCTTCCATATTCATCTCTTTTCTCCCATTTTCTCTTCAATTTTCTCATTGCAGAGTAGAGCAGAATTAATAATGTTATTGGCTTTGCAACCTTGCTGACTGGTTGCATGCTTTCCCTGCTTTGAAATGGTAAAAACAGCTGGGTTCAGTGGTGCACATGTCACCTGAGTGACTGGTGACTGAGAAGGGGATTGCAAATTCAAGGCCAACCTCAGCAGCTTCACAAGACATTGTTTCAAAAAAAAAAAAAAAAAAAAAATTACTGAGTGTGCTGAGTGTGTGGCTCAGTAATAAAGTTCTCTTGGGTTCAATCCCCAGTACCAGAAAGGTTACAGTAACAATTTAATTAGATAATAGTTAAAAAAAATTTTTTTTGAGGTTTGTTGCAAAATAGTTGACAGGTTTAGTTACTGAATTTTCTCACTATTAAAGGAGAAAAGTAAAACTATTCTAAAAAAATGAAGTTCTATGCATATTAACCTTTTTTTTTTTTTTTGGTATGTTAATAGAACTCAAAAGAAACAGCTTTCTCCTTTGGTTTGTATTTTAGGAAGAAGGAATTCTAGCTGAGTGTGGTAGCACATGTAATCCCAGCAGATCGGGAGGCTGAAGCAGAGGAGGATCAAAGCCAGCCTCAGCAAAAGTGAGGTGCTAAGCAACTCAGTAAGACCCTCTCTAAATAAAATAAAAATAGGGCTGGGGATGTGGCTCAGTGTTTAAGTGCTCCTGAATTCAATTCCTAGTACACCCCCTCCCCCCACCCCTAAAAGAAGGAATTCTAATGGACGATGATTTGGAAGATGTGAGTTTTTATTCTAGATTTTAGTACCATGAAACTTTTTAGTATCACTGTGGGCAACCTTGCTTTTTATAGAATGTGAGGGGTGGATCAGATGGGTTTTAAGGCTCTTTATTTTTTAAAATGGTATGATTCTTTCCCTATCAGTTTTCATTGCTGATGAAAGTCTTTCAGATTGGTAGAGTTGGTAGATAGATAGCTGAATTGGGGGGTGGGGGGTGGGGAGRTGTCCCAGACCTTTGAGTCCACAAACATGCTTATATGGAGCACATCTATACACAGCTCTATACTTTTTTCTGTCTTAGGTTTTATTCTCTTTTTATCTTCACTGAAAAGTTACTGGAAGAATTACCTGTACCTGTTACTTCTACTTTTTTATTACCCATTTGAATCTAAAATTTGTTATAACTTTACAATTACTCTGCTACTACTTTAAAAGTCACTAAATTCATTTTTGTTTTTTTTTGTTTCATAACCCTGTACTTGATACACTGTCATTTCCTCCTTCTCTGACCAATATCTAGATTGATATTGCCCAACAGAACTTTTTATGATGTTTTAAGTATTTTAAATGTATGATGTCCAATATGCTAATCACTACCCACATGTAGTTACTAAGCACTGAACTGCAGTTACTATGATTAAATATGTTTTAATTTTATTTAGTTTTAATTGATGTAAATAGTTTCATGTGTCGTCGAATGGCTATTGTATTGGATAGCACAACTCTATATAGGAATTCATAAGAATGTTATTTTGTCTGCAGTCTCCATTAGTAATCAAAGTAAACCTCATTGCTTCAGGTTCCATTTCTTTGCAGATAATCTCTATTACCTTGTGATGCAACTTGTCTCTTTACCTCATTATGTTTTCTAGAACTTTCTGAGAAGATTGCTTGGATGCTTTGTTTTTGTCAGAAATATAGCTCTTCATCTTCCCTCCCCATTCTTTGTTTTTGTATAATCCTTTTTTTCCCTCCCATTTTCTCATGAGGGAAAAAAAGAGGATTATATGAAAGGTCATTCTTACCTTATTAGTGACCCACGCTTGAAACCTTAAACCTTTTAAAACCTCTTTTTCAACCCTACCCACCCAAGTGCACATGATTATGCCCATATAGGCACATGTAAACAGAAAATCAACTGTGAAGTCTTCAACAAGATCAATTTCTCTAATATAATTTTTTATGTTTTTCTTCTCTTCATATCCTTGCCACTTCCTCAGTTGAAATACAAAAACACTTAAATGTATGTGACACATAACATGTTTAATAAATATGTGCATTTTTTAGAACAACTAATCACCTCCTGAATATCCCAACTTTTAATAATATTACACTGGGGTTGGAATTTCAACATATTGATTGCAATGGGGAGGCACAAACGTTTAGTCTATACATTTATCTTATTTTTTCTTTTTCCTATTTCCTTTATCTTTCCTCAACCCTGTGTTTGTTTTCCAGATACCCTTCCTGTCTGTAGTACCCCTCTTCTGTGTGTCACCCTGCACTTTGATTTCACATACCTTTCCTACAGTATAACTCCAATTGCACCCTTGAATCCAAAGGTTTTTAGAACCTCTCTACTTCTAGGATAAGGCTAAATGTTTCTAGTCACTCATATCTCCCTTCATACGCTTCCTTATTCTCCTTGATTCACATTGTTACCACTCAGCAATGTTTGAAATTATTTATGACCTTTCAGTAGGATGTAAGCCCCATGTTACCAGAAACTTTGTTCATCTTGTACTCCCACAGTCCAGTAGATAATTGGTGTGGTGGTTAATTTTATGTGTCAGTTTACTGGGCCACAGGATCCCCTGATATTTGGATATAAATATTATTCTATTTGTATCTATCAGGATATTTTGGGATGAGATTAACATTTCAGTTGACAAGCTGAGTAAAGAAATTTGCCATCCCAAATGTAGTTGCTGTGATCCAATCAGCTAAAGGCCAAAACAGGACAAAAAGCCRGACACATCGATTCTTGCTCGACTGCCTTAAGTTTGGACACAGATCTTTCCTGCTTTGGACTTGAACTGAAACATTGGCTCTTCTTTGGTTTTGAGTCTGCTAGCTTTCAGATTTGAACAACACTATCAGCTCTTCTGGATTTCTTCAGCTTGCAGACTATAGATATGGGACTTCTCAGCTTCCATAAGCATGCTAGTAAATTCCTTATACAACACACATGAAATATAAAATAATTATATTCTGTTTATAGCTCTCTAATCTATATATGTCTCTTGTCCATCTATAACTTGTTCTATTTCTTTGGAGAATCCTAATATAAATCTTGGTATCACCAATGAGATGCTATTGTAATATATAATTGAACATCTGGAATTGATTTTGGAACTGGGTGATGGATATAAGCTAAATGAGTTTTAAGGTGTATGCTAGAAAAAGCCAAGATTGAAAGAACTGTTGGTAGAAATATGAACTTTGAAGGCAATTCTGGTGACAGCTAAGAAAGAAATGAAGAAACTAGAAACAAAGCTTCCATATTCTTAGAGAATAGATAAATAGCCAGATGTGGTGGTACATGCCTATAATCCCAGAACCTTGGGATTGCCAGTTCAAAGC